AGACGGGGTTTCACCGTGTTGACCAGGATGGTCTCGATCTCTTGACCTCGTGATCCACCCGCCTCGGCCTCCCAAAGTGCTGGGATTACAGGCTTGAGCCACTGCGCCCGGCTACCGTTTTTTTTTTTTTAAAGCAAGTATCAGATATGCTACATCCTGTTTCTCAGTAAGGATGTAGCGTAAGGATGGAGTCTCACTCTGTCACCAGGCTAGAGTGTAATGGTGCAATCTCGGCTCACTGCAACCTCTGCCTCCCGGGTTCAATCAATTATCCTGCCTCAGCCTCCCAAGTAGCTGGGACTACAGGCGTGTGCCACCACGCCCAGCTAATTTTTGTATTTTTAGTAGAGACGGGGTTTCACCATGTTGTCAAGGATGGTCTCAGATCTCTTGACCTCATCATCTACTTGCCTCAGCCTTCCAAAGTGTTGGGATTACAGGCATGAGCCACCTCACCCAGCCATGCCTCCATTTGAAAAGTAGATAAAATTTAAATAATTGTCAGTAGAAAGTCTTTCTGTACCATTGTGAAACAGAGTTCAAGGACAGAGTGAAGGGCTTGGGGGAATATGTACACTAGTTTTAATGATTAGTTTGCCTTATCAATAAAATGGAGAAAACTATGTAAAGTACTTGAACCTTCTTGGGTCATGTTTGAAGATCAAATGAGATGATGTTTGTCCTCATAGTCATTCATTTTCAAACATGTATGATGCTAATCTTTTAAGGCCCTGTACAAGTCTTCCTGTACAACTGTAGGGTGGGCATTATTATTACTCCCATTTTATACCTAAAGGAAACTGAGGCCTGGATTTGCTCAGATAATGCTGCAATTCGTACTTAAAACTGTCAGACATACCCTCAAGAAATTCACAAGTAAGAAAGAGATAGAAACAAATATATGTAAAAATGTTCTTTGAAGTATAAAGCAGTGTACAAAATACCATCAATTCATCGTTGTTATCTTTCTCACAGTCAATAATATTGTTGCCCAAATTAGAATAGTTTAACAAAACATTTTCTTCCTTGCCTTAGACCAGGGGTGTCTATTCTTCTGGCTTCTCTGGGCCACATTAGAAGAATGTGTCTTGGGCCACACATAAAATACACGAACACTCATGATAGATGATGAGCTTAAAAAAAAAAATCACAAAAAAATCTCATTATGTTTTAAGAAAGTTTACGAATTTCTGTTGGGCCACATTCAAAGCTGTCCTGGGCTACATGTGGATTGCAGGCCACGGGTTCGACAGGCTTTCCTTAGACAAGTGGAAAAACCACATTTATTTTCTGGTTATAAAAGTAACACTCGTTTTTTTAATTTAAGTTTGAAAAATTGGAAAATATGTACAGATATTTTTTAAAAAATCAGTATTTCATAACTCGCCCAAAGATAAGCTGAATTTTCTCTAACGATACTTAAGTATATCCCCCTGAATACTTGTGTTCATAGAGATTAACATGGGACATTGATTCTTCTTCAGTGGGGATTTTGGAGACCAGCCCCCACTGTCCTGGATTCTTGGGATGATTTAGATGAGATCCTTTCTTGAGTCAGGCGTTATTTTTCACCTTTGCCCTCCCCTGTGAATTTGTGGCATTCAGAGAATTCTTCGATAAGGCTAAGCAAGGCAGTACTCATTTCAGGTACTCAGGATGTACGCATCCAGATCTGTTGCCTCCTCTGACTTATGTCCAGCTTCTCCTGTAAATGTGGTAGCCTTGATGAGGGATATTGAGGAAAGTGGAGCAAGTGTGGATATTCTGCTATAGTTTTTCTCAGGTGACAGATACTAGTGGGTGAAGCCAGGGCTCAGACAGCTCAGTTCTCTTGCGTGTTAGTCTGGCTTGCTACTTGCAGGTATGGCTGTTTATTTTCATTTCACTTTTCTGCATTGTAGTCTCTACCTATAATTAACGTGGCTAAAAAGAAAAGGTTAATCTAAAAGTTGTTTTTAAGAAATATAGAGCTTCCCAGATTTCTGAGCAGCATTTAAATCCCCGCTCTGTTACTTGTGTTGATTTGTGCTCTTGGATAAGCTTCTGAGCCAGTTTCAACAGTGAAATGGTGACATTACCTACTTCTAGAATTGTCTGAAGCATGAGGGATATAAAATGCCATCTTCATAAAATAACACTCAGAATCATTAATTATTTGTTATTATTGGATCTGTGTGCATATGAAAGAGTCAGGACTTTTTTGTATTTTGAATTCCATGAAAGTACAGATGGATTGAGTTGTATGGGGGGAGGTTATATATTGGAAAAGCTGCATGCACATAAAACACATTTGCATCATAAGTTGTTATAGGTATTATACATCCTTCAAAGCAAAAGAGTTATTGAAGATATGTGGCAGGGGATTGAGTGGTATTCTATTTAAGGTTGATGGGAATCCAAGAGTAACCATTAGAGACCTCCAAAGTGTCTAGTGGTCTTTCACTTCTGCATGGGTTAGTATTTTTTTATTTGTGATCACAGTCACTTTCTAACAAGGCATGCTGTTTCTGCTTTTTCACTATCAGCTTGGCTTTGAAACCCTTCATCAAAAACATGCCACCCAGTTTCTGATTTCTTCATATCAGAATAGTCTATCCAGAGATCTTATTTTTCTTTCTGGGCTTCATCTCGGTGAGTCAATAGTTTTTTAAACCTATATTGTATTTTAAAAGCCCTGAGACTCTCAGCAAATTCCATGTGACTTGGGTACCTAGAGAGGTAGCAGAGAATTGAAATTCACTTTTGGAGCCCCCTCTGTGGCCTCCTGTGCTTTCAGTCCCTTCTCATCCTAATGTCTACCATCGTTTATTAAAAATTCAGAAGCTAGGAAAAGTCATTCCAAAGCCTGGTGTTGGGTCTGCAGAAAAAGTCCCAAATGTTTGTCCTCAAGGAATGCAGAATCTGGTGGGAATTAGATAAACCACAGCTTACACAAGGCTTTCTGGGATACCCATGTGGGACCTGCTCTCTATCTCTGGGACTGTTTTATGAGTCCTTCAATCTTAGCCTGTGCGTTTGTTTTTTAAAATGTGTCAGGAGGTCCGCCCGCCCTCGGCCCTGCAGCCACAATGCTGTCCCGGTCCCGCTGTGTGTCCCGGGCATTTAGCCGCTGGCTCTCTGCCTTCTAGAAGGGGAACTGCCCTCTAGGGAGACGTTCCCTGCCCTGGGTCTCCTTATGCCAGGGACCAGGTTACCCTAATAGCAGAAAGGTTGTCATTAACAACAGTAGTGTCTCCAGTGTTCGCTTCTTCAGAACTACGGCTGTGTGCAAGGATGATTTGGTTACAGTCAAAACCCCAGCATTTGCAGAATCTGTTACAGAGGGGGATGTCAAGGGGGAGAAAGCTGTTGGAGACACAGTTGCAGAAGATGAAGTGGCTTGTGAGATTGAAACTGACAAGGCATCTGTGCAGATTCCATCACCAGCAAATGGCGTGATTGAAGCTCTTTTGGCACCTGATGGGGGAAAAGTCGAAGGATGCACTCTGCTTTTCACACTCAGGAAAACTGGTACTGCTTCTGCTAAGGCCAAGCCAGCCGAAGCTCCTGCTGCTGCAGCCCCAAAAGCAGAGCCTACAGCAGCGGCAGTTCCTCCTCCCCCTGCAGTACCCATACCCACTCAGTTGCCACCAGTGCCCTCACCCTCACAACCTCTTTCTAGCAAACCTGTGTCTGCAGTAAAACCCACTGCTTCCCCTCCACTAGCTGAGCCAGGAGCTGGCAAAGGTGGTCTGCGTTCAGAACATTGGGAAAAAATGAACAGGATGTGGCAGCGCATTGCTCAGCGTCTGAAGAAGGCCCAGAATATATGTGCAATGCTGACAACTTTTAATGAGATTGACATGAGTAACATCCAGGAGATGAGGGCCGGCACAAAGAGGCTTTTTTGAAGAAACATAACCTCAAACTAGGCTTCATATCGGCATTTGTGAAGGCCTCAGCCTTTGCCTTGCAGGAACAGCCTGTTGTAAATGCAGTGATTGACGATACAACCAAAGAGGTGATGTACAGGGATTATATTGACATCAGTGTTGCAGTGGCCACCCCACGGGGTCTGGTGGTTCCAGTCATCAGGAATGTGGAAGCTATGAATTATGCAGATATTGAACGGACCATCACTGAACTGGGAGAGAAGACCCTAAAGAATGAACTTGCCATTGAAGATATGGATGGTGGTACCTTCACCATTAGCAATGGAGGAGTTTTTGGCTCCCTTTTTAGAACGCCCATAATCAACCCCCCTCAGTCTGCCATCCTGGGCATGCATGCCATCTTTGACCGGCCTGTGGCTATAGGAGGCAAGGTGCGGCCCATGATGTATGTGGCACTGACCTACAATCACCGGCTGATTGACGGCAGAGAGGCTGTGACTTTCCTCCACAAAATCAAGGCGGCGGTAGAGGATCCCAGAATCCTCCTCCTGGATCTTTAGGAGGAAGCCACACACCCAACAAATCATGCAGGAACTGAAAACCAGTCTTACCCCTGCTCCCTCATGAGTCCCAGGTTAGCCTGGTTACAGGCAGGCACATGCTGTTGGCCTCAAGCAAGGAAGCAGAGCACTATGTAACCAGCAGTCACAGGTCTTTTCTTGGTGTTCCTGCCAGGCTCTCTCCCTCTCTGCACCTGTCTCACACCCTTGAATATCTTAATTCCTTAGGCTTGAGAGAGAGAGCCTTAATGGGTGCTCATTAATATTCCTGCCTTTCTTCCATCAGCCCTCTGCAAAGATGATTTCCTTCTCCCTAGTGCCAGTATACTATAGAGAAACCCCCGGGGACCACATGATTGAGTTCCTGTCTTCAGAAAGTCTGTTCTACAGAGACGACTAGGAGGATGCTGTGCCTCTTAAGCTCAGAGCAGCCTCTGTGCTGGCTGTGCACATTCTCACTTGATTCCACCTGTGTGGAGAGATTGAACACAGGCAGAGGTGTTGCTTTGTTTCTTAAATGGCAGCTTCATTCTCTGTTGTCACTGACTTCAAGATGCCTCTTCTACCTCTTCCAGGAAGCACAGGCCAGGGGATCTTGGTGGGTGAGTGGGAGAAGAGGGCAGAGGTCCCCTGAGGTCACATGTAATCCTCATGGAAGGAGATCCCAGACCTGCTCTCACGCTCTCCATCATAGGCTCACACCAAGATCTGTCTTGGCACAGTCTCTCACAGCTGGGGTTGTGGCAACCCTTTCTAAACCCTTTCCTGGTGGCTCATTCCAGCACCTTATTCTTATTTAGAGCAGATTCTACCACATCATGGCAGTGGGACCAAGCATGGTCCCGAGGAAGGGCCAGAGCCTGGTAGAGACTAGGGAAGGGAGGTCTCCTTTAGACTGCCTCAAATTGACTTGAGCTTTTCAATTAAGTTGGTGTAAGCACGTGGGCTGAGGAGGCAGTTCTTGTTCCTTCCTGCGTTATAGCGGGGACTTGTCTCTTCCTCTGCAGGACACAGATCTGGAGGACAATGGACTATGGTAGGAAGCCACCCTGAGGGTGTTAGTACATTGTGGTGAAATGGTTGAGGTCGTTTCTAAGGTGTGCTACCCTTGGATCTGGGCACAGTCATTGGATTTCCTTGGAGCATGGTTAAATGCAAGTATCTTGTGAAAGCTAATGGGATTCATGGCTTTGTATCTAACTGCATCCAGGCCTGAGGCTGCTGACCTTTGACATTGGGGCCATTAGAAAGTGCCCTTTTATATCTTGAGCCAAGAAGTGAGGCCTGGGGGTGGGGGAGGCGGGAAGGGGTGGGAGCCAATACTGAGTGCCTGCAGCATCTACTACTCTGTCTTCACTATTCAGAACTTGTAACTGAAGTATTTAAAGAAACGGATTTTAAATGCAAAATAAAGGGCAGATGTTCTCAAACAGGAAAAAAAAAATGTGTCAGGAGAGTTTTCCCCCCAAAGATCGTCTTAATTGAAGAACTGAATTAAAAGCATATATACACCCCATGTCTACACTTAAAACTATCCGAATACTACCAGTTGTTCAATGAGGTTGTTCCTACACCAACAGATACTCTAGTGTTTTGTAGAGATATGCTTTTGCAAGGCTTTGTCTTCTGTAACTGCTTGGCCTTAAAAACCTACCTATCTAGAAAGGGGGCCCTCTGAGTATTGTTTGATAATAAGAAATTGATTTCAATACTTCGGCAAACCTTTTGGCAGAAACATAGAATCAACATTCCAGAAATTAAGAGCCACTATTGTGGCTTGGGGTTTGTAAAGTTGTAATTGGAGCAAGGACCAAAAAATTTAGGTTAGGCGGGTAGTATATCATGAGGGATTTGTTTTTCCAACAAACTAGATGGTTGAGGGTTATATTTTTCTTATGAGAAGGAAGAGGTTTTTGCTTAATAAGGTACTATATGAGGCCGGGCGCGGTGGTTCAAGCCTGTAATCCCAGCACTTTGGGAGGCCAAGGTGGGTGGATCACGAGGTCAAGAGATCGAGACCATCCTGGTCAACATGGTGAAACCCCGTCTCTACTAAAAATACAAAACATCAGCTGGGCATGGTGGTGCGTGCCTGTAATCCCAGCTACTCAGGAGGCTGAGGCAGGAGAATTGCCTGAACCCAGGAGGCGGAGGTTGCGGTGAGCCAAGATCGCGCCATTGCACTCCAGCCTGGGTAACATGAGTGAAACTCCCTCTCAAAAAAAAAAAAAAAAAAAATAAGGTACTATATGAAAATGAATGTTCTTGAATATCTTAGTTTTTCTTTTATCCTTGGTTCCTTTTTAATTAAATTAGTATTTGATTAACACCAACTACAATCAAATCACTGTTCTGAGTCTTCTTTGTGCTCATGTTAATTTTTAAATTAATTAATTTTTAGAATTTGGTAACATGTGTATTGTACAGTAAGTTGTACAGTGAAAGTAACTCTTCTTTGTATCCCAGCTACCTGGTTCCCTTCAGCTGCCTAATCTTTCTCAAACTTTGTACCAGCTTTTGCATTGTCCCAGAGATAATTCATGCCCATACAAGCATCCATTTGTATGATATTCTTTTGTTTCACACAGGTAGTGCTAGCACTGTGATAGAATTGTAGCCCTCTCAGTGAACTACACACCCCTGTATTCAAGTCAGTGTAATTCCTGCCCATATTAACTGTGCTTGGCCATGTGACTTGTTTTGGCCAATGGGAATTAGCAAGTGTGATGCAAGCAGAGGCTTTATAAGAGCTTGCACTTTGAGATGTGTATAGAGTGCTTGCTATTATGACGCCCAGAAGCCCCCAGCTGTGAAGTCCCCAACTAGTCATAAAGAGAAGCCATGTGGAAGAGAACCAGGTCCCTGTCAACAGCCTTAGCTGAGCCACCAGCCAGCAGAGAGCATCCACTTGGCAGCCATGTAATGAATGAACTATCTTCTTGGAAGTGGAACTGCCGGCACCATTCAGACCAGCCCCAGTGGTGCTATGTGGAGAAGAGACAAGCTTTCCCTGCCAAGCCCTGTCTGAACTGAAAAATTGTGAACTCCTGTTAGTAAGCTACTAAATTTGGTTTGTCATGTAGCAACAGATAACAAACACATACTATATATACGGTATTTTCTGTGCCTTGCTGTTGTTGCTGAACAGTATAATAGATATCAGCTTATTTCAGTACATACAGAGCCACATCATTCGTTTTAAGAGCTGAATTATTCCATTTATGGCTGTACAGTAATTTAATTAGCCTCTTGTTGATGAACATTGATTTTCCAATCCATCACATTTAATATTTTCATGGCATGCTTCCTTTTGCACATGTACAAGTATATTTATTGGGTAAATTCTTAGAAGTAGAGTTTCTGGGTAAAAGAGTATGTAAATTTGTGTTTTTTTTTTTTTTTTTTGAGATGGAGTCGAGATGGAATCTTGTTCTTTTGCCAGACTGGAGTCAGTGGCACATTCTCGCTCACTGCAACCTCTGACTCCCTGGTTCAAGTGATTCTTCTGCCTCAGCCTCCCAAGTAGCTGGGATTATAGGCCCACGTCACCATGCTCAGCTAATTTTTGTATTTTTAGTAGAGACAGGTTTTCACCAAGTTGCCCAGGATGGTCTCGAACTCCTGACCTTGTGATCTACCCACCTTGGATTCCCAAAGTCATGTAATCTCATGCTGGGATTACAGGCACAAGCCACCATGCCCGATTGTAAATTTGTAATTTTAATAGATATTGCGAGTTGCCCTCCAGAGAGGTCACACTCCCACTAGCAATGTAGGAGGACTCTGCCCTGGAGAAAATGGTGAGCACTGTGCCATAATGTGGTTGAAATGTTACATTTCTCTTTAATATTTTCTCATATTTAAAAACCACTTGCATTTCCTTTTTTTTATGAACTGTCTTCTTTGTTGTTTGGATTCTTGGCCTTTTTCTTTTTTGGAGGAACTCTCTGTGTATAAAAGAAATTAGCGCTTAATGTATGCTATATGAAGCAAATCTTTTTTCACCCAGTTACTCGTTATCTTTTGACTTCATTTGAGTAATTTTTTTCCTTATTGTTTTTAGTTATGTCAATCTTCTATAGCTTTTGGATTTTCTTGGTTTTGTTTTGGTTTGTTTGTCATATTTAGGCTTTTCTCACTTTGAGATTATTATAGATACTCTCCTATGTTTTCTTCTAGTGTTTTTATTATTTCTTTTTTACATCTTAATCTTTGATCTGTCTGAAATGTCTTTTGACATATAGGTTTCCACATAGGTTTCTGAGGTGGCTAGTCAGTTGTCTCTTAATGTTCTTACACCAAGTCATCTTTATTATACAGTCATGTGCCTCATAATGATGTTTTAGTCAATGATGAACTGCACATATGACACTGGTCCCGTGAGATTATAATGAAGCTGAAAAATTCACTTTGCCTAGTGATGTCACAGCTGTCGTAATGTCATAGTAATGCATTACTTATGTATTTTTGGTGAGCTGTGTAAACCAACCTACTGTACTGCCAGTCATAAAATTATAGCACATACAATTCTGTATATAATATTTGATAATAAATGACTATGCTATTGGTTTATGTATTTACTATAGTCTTTATTGTTATTTTAGAGTGTATTCCTTCTACTTATAAAAAGAAAAAGTTAACTGTAAAATGGCCTCAGGCAGGTCCTAAGAGGTATCCATAAGAAGGCGTTGTTGTTATAGGAGATGACAGCTCCATGCCTGTTATTGCCCCTGCAGACGCTCCAGTGGGACAAGATGTGGAGGCAGAAGACAGTGATATGATGATCCTGACCTTGTGTAGGCCTAGGCTAATGTGTGTGTTTGTGTCTTAGTTTTTAACAAAAGTGTTTACACAGTTAAAAAATAAAAAATTTAAGAAAATTTATAGGATAAGGATATAAAGAGAGAAAATATTTTATACAGCTGTCTAGTATGTTTGTGCTTTAAGCTAAGAGTTAGTACAAAAAAGTCAAAAGTAAAAAAAAAAATCTTAGTGTTTATGAAGTAAACAAGTTACAGCAAGCCAAGGTTAATTAATAAATTATTTTTTTTTAGAGCTAGTGTCTCGCTTTGTCTCTCAGGCTGGAGTACAGTGGTGCAATCATAGTTCACTGTAACCTTGAACTCCGGGGCTCAAGCAGTCCTCCTGTCTCAGCCTCCCAAAGCGTTGAGATTACAATGAGCCACTATGTATGGCTATGTTAATTTATTCTTGAAGAAATACAAATATTTTTTATAAATTTGGTGTAGCCTAAGTATACAGCGTTTATAAAACTGACAGTAGCG